GGAAAGAGTAACTTCCCCCATGCTTTAGTGAATCTGCTGCACCCAGTGGGCTGAAGTCTTCCCTTAAATCATTTGGGCTGAGCACAGACATGAAGGGTTCTATCCCAAAAGGTATTGAGAAGACTTCACGAGCAAGTGAAGAGTCAAAGAAAGGTCAGAAAGCATGGTTCTTACTGCAATCTCACTTCTATGAGAAACAGAGAACACAACTAGTGTAAGTGTTGCCTGCACTGCCAGTGGGGACCAGCCCCTGGTCACACTCCTGCCTGCCTCACTCTCACATGCGCCAAGTGAATGACTCGGGAAAATCAGATGACACGACTACCTAAAGTCATACACATGCGTTTCTAACTTACTTTCCGGGACTTCCTGCTGGATCAAGGAGTACTGAGCAGAGAAACCGTCTTTAGCCACTGCCAGGTCCGTGTGGAAGGTGAGCGAGAGGACACCGGTGGTTGAGCGGATGTCTGATGGCATCTTAGTGCCGCAGTACCTGCCTATCAAGGGGCCAACTGCAAAAGAAAGAGCAGCACAAGTAATGCCTGCTTTTCCACCAGCCTCCTGGGTCACCAGCAGATTGGCATCACTCAGCAGGGATGCCTTAGCAGGACCGATCAGGATAAAAGAAAGGCTTTGAGGATGAGCTATTTTTTACATCCATTGGCCTGGTGCCATGCAGTACGCCGCAAAGAAATATCCACTGCAGCAGGCATTTCTCTGCAGTTGCCGGGAAATGCTCCAAACTGCTCTGTTTCTCAGTGTTGGTACAGAGTAGGGTGGTCTTCCCAGCACTGCATGAACCCACTGCCCTTGCCTGAGTAAGGACCTGTGGTGTCTTGGAGTGTTCCGTGGGACATTTCAGATCAGTGGTTACAACAGAGCAGTAGTTTGGGGTTTAATGCACACAGCCTCCTGCAAGCACACCGTCCCCACAGCCGGCCACGAAGTGCCCCAATGGCAGGCTGCATGAAGCAGCCACATCTGAGGTTAGGCACCTTTGGTGTTCAGACACAGACTGCACAGCTTTGGAGCTTTGTGAGACACCAAGAGAGGCTGAGGACAGCAGTGCAGCACCCCATGACTTACCCTGAGGGATGCCGTCCCAGATGTCCAGCCAGTCGTACTTGCAGTCTCCTTCCCCCGCCTGCAGCGGGTCATGCTCGAGGTCAAAGAGCAAGAAGTGGAGGAGGATTTCTGTCTTTGGCTTGGCTATGATGGTGAAGATGCAGTCCAGGTTGTGTGGATACTTGTCAGGGAAACCTGGAGACTCAATAGTGCCATTGGAGGCAGTGAAGTTTCTGGAGCAGTCCTCAGAGCCTGTAGTGGCAGAAAAAACCTCCAGCCTTAGCAACAATGCAGTGTAATGCCAATAGCCTGACACTGTGGAAACCTCATGTGAGCTTAGAGGTGTTGTGTATTCACTTCTGCAAATGTCCTGTAACCCAAGAGCTGCGTGAATTCCTGCAAGGACCACAAAGAAGATTTTCAAAGCTTTCCACAGGTGGAGAGACAAAGTCCCTGTGTTTACTGGAGTGGACAGCATGGTTTTAAATCCCTCAGACAGCTCTGCAAACATAACCTGTATACCACTGCTGATCCCCCTGCCAAATACTACAAAAACAGGACTAGGAGAGTGATCCCCTACAAAGCCATGGCTGCAATTGGGCTGGGCAGCCCCCTGCCATGTCCCCCACGCTGGTGGTGGCCCAGTGGGGAAGGGAGGCTGTGCCGAGCTGGGCTGAGCTCCCCCTGCCAGCCCTGCCCACTGTCTGCTGGGCCCCCAACCAGCAACCTGCCAGGGGGCCTGTGCCTGCGGCCCCACGGCCCGCGGAGGGGCTGGCCTGCACAGGGGGTGCCCTACATGGCCCTTGCAAAGGGCCACAGCAGCGCTGGGTCTGATGGGAGCCCCCGTTTGGGGAGGGGGCTGCCTGGGAAGGGGTGGAGCAGAGTAACGGGGATGTCATCTCTCTGGAAAAGCTGTGCCCAGGGGCTGGTCTCCAGCAACCTCTATTCCTCCGGCATGGACATCTGTGCCTCAGTTTCCTCTTGAGAAAATCAGGAAGCACAAACATTTACACAGTGAAAGGGCCCGGGGGAGGGTGCCAATGTCTCCACTGTTAGCTGGAAACCCTTGGGAAGCACGTGGTCAGCCTCCGGCCCCCTGAGACCCACGCAAGAGACGAGGGCCAGCTCCAGCATACATCCCCACAACGTGGCCACAGCAAGAGCAGGGGTAACAGGGGCCGTGGCATGGGGGTCTCTGCCGAGAGGAGGAACAGAGCCCTCTTTCTCACAGACTGAGCCGTCCACACCAGAAATGCAAGTTATTTCTATCCTTAAGGAAGACCTTTGCGTGGCGAAGAGGGCAGACAATGTTGCCTCTTTTTACTGCTGACCTCCGCACTGGCCTCGGCTGCAGCCGCGCCAGCTCCGTGCCCCCTCTTATACAGCCAAGGTGCCTCAGGGTGGCCGGGGAATGGGGAATTTCTGTTGTATTCATACCACGGTGACTTTGAAACCGCTGAGCTGTGGAGATAGGACAATAAGCAACAGAAATCCACAGCCTGAAGCTATCAGAGGCGAAAGGGGATGTTAACAGAGACTACCGGCCGCTGCTGCAACCCGGTGTTAGCATTCGCAAAGGTTTCTGCTTCAGTTTTTCTGGGACACCCTCCTTCTCCTCTACAAACCCTTCTGCTCCGGCTCTTCCAGGCAGCACAAGCCTTCCTGGGACTAATGGGAGACTTGTTATTCAATTCAGCATTAACCTACAGGAGTCAGGCCAGCAGCCCGCAGTAATAGCAGGATCCCGGCACCGCATTATGCAGCGCCTAGCTGGAGAGCTACTCAGGAGAGGCTGTTAATTGACTACCTAATGAAGCGGCCAGCTTTTCTGATGTGAACCTGTGGGGTAACACACAGAGGCAAAAAATACGGCCAAACACAAATCACAGCCTAACACCATGATCAGGGATAAGGGTGTACTGCGTTCCAAACAGCTTGAAAGACAAATAGGGAAAATAACACAAGCTCTGAGCTAGGGAGAAAATCAAAGACTAAACACAGAGTCAGGGGCCGTCCTCTAGAGACAGGAGAGAGACATAACTATGTCACTGCATTAGACAACAACAGTTTCCTCATGTGGGGCTCTTATCGCATTTGGCATCTTTGTCTACAGTTTGGCTGATACCAGCAAACACAATGATCAGGTTTTTTATAAGGAAGCTGCAGATAATCAAGAGGAGTCATGCTGGCTTCGGCAGCACGGCGCAGCCTGAGAGGAGACTTTGATGCCCAGCGCTGGAGAGCTCAGGCCAGCTCTGCCACACTGACTCACAAAGCCAGCAGCAGGGAGGCCGGACTAGCCAGGGCAGGCGGCTCTTTTGTCAGCCCAGGGACCGCTGACTGCTACCCATCAGGGGATTCAAAGCCTGGTATGCACGTGTTTGTATGCAGATTTCACCTCTCTCACACTGTGATAAGGCAAATTTAGTACAAGGTGTGGAAATAAATGCTCAGTTGAAAAGAGCTGTTTTTTTAGGTCACCTTTAAGAAAGAAAGAAGCTGCAGCCACACTGCCTTTACTGATGTGGACAATGACAATCCGATGACCTTTAAAGCTGGTGACACCCTTGCTGGCTACGCTGACAGCTCAAGAAGGAACCTTCGCCCATGCCTGCCTGCCTGCAAACAAAGGGCAGAGTTTGCTTGCACGGCCGTAGCCTTGCAGCCAGCACTGCCCACAGCCCGTCCACGGAGCCCT